AAGGAACGAAAACCATGTGTAAAATGAATAAATGGCAATACCTTCCTCGCGATCTCTGATTTTTGAAGTGAAAAGCACTGGGAGCGAGCTCGCCTTTGGCAGACTTCGGCAGTCTTCGGACGTCTTCGGAAGACTTCGGACGTCTTCGGAAATCTTCGGAAATGATCGTGTCGTCTTCAAAAATCCCAGCACTCCCAGGATAAAAATCTCACGCTTATATCTCAGAAAAAGTTGGCAGGTATAAGACCATCCCTTCTATGTGCGCAAAACGCGTTGGTAGTTTTTTTCAAAATGGCGCCAAAAAAGTCTGCAAAGGCTTCTAGGTGCCGCCATATTGGATTTATCTCCCGAATAGGCCGAGCATTAGCCGATATTTTGGAAAACTGGTACAAGCAATGCAGTTGTGGCGGTCACTTTGGAAGAGTTGAATTCGTTAGCTTTCTGTCGGTGTGTGATTAAGTATATTCTAGCTCGATGAATTAGGAAAAAGTGATACGATAGGAGGCGAAAATGCAGAGCCAAGTGACTGTGGCGAGGGTTTCAGGTGATCATTTTCTTGAGGCTTTTTTCGGAGTGTAAAGAACTTTAATAAAAAATCTGAAATGATACGATGTTAGTTCGATCTCTGTGTTCATTAAATATGTATTTATTCGTCGCTTTTGTCTTCTCTTGGCAAAAATAAATCATGGCGTTTTCAGTCCACCATTGGCGGCAAGTAACAAGAAACCAAGATTTTCGATCGGAAAGTACCAACAGCTCAAGAAGGAAAGGGTAAATGCTGAAATTCAAAAATTACTTGACGCAGATGCACAAATATTAGAGCTCAAAAGGCAAGTGGCTGCTGAAAGAGTCAAAATTGACGCATTGGGAACGAAATTACACAACAAACAAGAAATTGTACGGAGGCAAAAACGAAAGGTTTGTTCAATTAACTTCTCTGTTTGTATGTTGTGGCCACTGTGAGATATTAGGGGGAAGGAAGGTGCCATCAGACTTTCAGACTGTTGATTATCTGTGTAACACCGTTGTTCTGTAGGCTACAATAGCTTCACTAATGGATGGAGGTACTATAGCCTTCGTAGTCTCCCTGCAATCTGTATGCAATCTGTAGTCTTGGTCATTACAGAACATTTATTCCAGGTCCATGGACTCCCTTGAATTGGGCCGTGCATCATTTTCTAAAAGGTCTGAACCCTCTGCTAGAAATAGGGTTCTTAACACACAATATATTTTTTTCAAGCTTGAGGTTGTTTTATAGCAAACTTGGCTGTTATATTCCTTTAAGTCTCAAGATTGCACGATCAACATCAAATTTGTTCTCATAAGATCAATTCATGTACAGTTATGAGAAGAATATTAAGGATGCAATCACCAAACAGACATTGCATTGAAAATTTTTTTTACTTCTCCCAACTCGATTGTAGGAGTATGGAAAATGTACAAGCTTAAATGTATAGGATTAAACCCCAGTTGTATTTGTGTTCTCATCAGCTCCCTTGATAATTAGTCATTATTTTATTAGTGACTTGAGGAACTTTGGTTATGAAAACAATTAAGGTCACTGAATTTAGATCTCCTGAATCAATATTTTTCAAATTCATTTTCTGATTCTTGATACTATTAAAAATTAATGATCCATTTATAATTTACTTATTAATAATGACAGATCACTGAACTTGAAGCTATTGCAAATGAAAATGAATGTCCAATCCAAGCCAAAAAGCCTTGTAAACCACATGTAAGCAGTAAAGTGCAGAGTAATTGCAGTGCGAAGCTTGAGCACCTATCAAGATTCCAGCTATTATGAAGGAAAAAAAAGACTGTCGCTGCACTAAGACCAATACGTTGTGGAAGCAACATGTCAGTCTCTGATGACCAATCTGTGCAAGATGGGTTATGGACCACATTGATTGGCACAACTTCAAAACAAGTGATGAAAACTTATATCGTCAATTCAGCAGTTTGCATGAATGATACTATACCAAAGATTGTTAAAAGGAGAGTTCAAGAACATGAAAAAAGTGATCAAAACCAGCTTAGGAGCATGCGTGTGTTGTATGAAGGGGGGATGGTAAGCAAGCGGAAGTACACTAACATACGAAACAGCAGCGATGTGATGAAACAATTTCCAGATCATTCAGGTAAAAGTAAGAAATCACAATGTATGCAAAGCTGTGAAATTCCCAAGATCCTTCTGTACAAAACTCTGATGAGTTATATCAGGAACATTGACCTTGGTGAGGTTTTACCTTTGGAGATTCTAGCAGAAAAGCTTTCTACTGAATCAGTTCCCGGCGTGTACAGGCCCCTTAAACCTTTCCTTTTGAGGCTCGCTGACATGTACTTGACGCGCCATGAAAAAGACCCCTGTCTACAGTGGTTCAATGAAGAAGAGGGGGTGCTGTATGTGG